TCTGCGTGCACTTAGAGAAGTTTTACTGTATAACAGTCCAGAATTAAAAAAAAAAAAAAAAGTCAAGATTTTGCGCTATTAATCAAATAGCAGATCAATTATTGATCGGTCATTAACTGGTTATTTTGACCGACCGCGGCCAAACGGTCGTGGCTAATAACAGACATAACCGACCGTAACCACCAAACCCATCCCTAATCAAGCCTCATAAACAGTAAAAAAAAATATTTAGTTTCACAATTAATTGGGCATCTTAAAAGTCCTCTTCCTTGATAGTCCCTCCTATTACTTTATCTTTTAATCTGAACAATCTGTATAAAGTGATTGTGGAGAAATTGACAGTGACGTTCATTGTGGTGTTTGCGAATCTATATAAACAGTTAAATATAAAATATACATGTTATTAAACCAGGAAGTACCCAACTAAGAGTTACCGGATCTCTTGCAATATAGGTTATACCTATTCTAAATCAATTGATTAATAATACTTTTTACCTATACTGCAAGAGATCCGAGTTACCTTCCTTTTTACAAATACTGTAAAAACAACGCATCTTTCTTTTTAAATATACAATGATCAACTTAAAGATAAAAGACAATGATGTATTTTAATATGAATTTTTTACGCTGACAGGAAGAGGGCAAAAACCGATGCCTTTTATAATTGATCTGAATTTAGATGTTACACTAATTTTGTGTTACGTCAAATTTTTAATACTACATAAACAATACTGATCGCGTATAATGTGCATTACAGTAAACGCGTTATGAAAATCGATGAAACAGATTTTTCAAATAGCGAATGTAACACGATTGATACCAAATTTCTTATACATTTTTACGATGTTTCTTTATATTGTCACTTCGTCTTATCAATCTGATTGGCTGACTTGCAGGTGACTTTCTAAAGTTGACGATACGATTGGTTGACACTCTTGTGCAACCATATCCTTCGGTCTCCAAAGGTCGCTAGCTGGTGATCTGATTGACCCGGGTGGACAATTCAAAAATCGTAGGTAGCTCAAACTTTTAGGGTTTGGAAATATACGGTATAATTGATGTAATAACTATTTTATTATATATAATAATGATATAATAACCTACTAATCACGGGCGTTTGTAGTATTCAATGTAACTTTAATACTGACAAAGTTAGCCATAATATGTTCTTCCAGGAAATGGATTTTGGAATCGTACAGTAACCCACTCGCCTCACTGAAGAAATTCGAATGATACCAAAATCGCATAATTCTGATTGATAGATTGCAATATTTGTTATACCATGGTATAACATTTCCCATCCCTATTAACGAAAATATTGTGTACATATCTGAATTTAATTTTAATTTTCTATATAATCGATGCTCATTTGTCAATTTGTGCTCCGTAATTTATTCATCGATACATTATAACTTTTGATAGATTAATCCCGGGAATTGTTCGGGTCTTAAAGAATTTAATCATTGCGGCGAATTTATGAAACATCCCAAAATTTTAAAATTTGGCTACTAATATGCAATATAGATTTTGACTGAGATAATCAACACTTCCCGAGTTATGACGCTCATTCTAGTGATGCAAACGGCTGGCTCGGCTCACGGCTAACATTAATCAAGCCGAGCTGATCTATCAGCTCCAAATCCTGAGCCGAGCTGTTTACGAGCCGACCAACCTCGAGCCGAGCCGAGCCGTTACTATTGCCGACGGAAAACGGCGAGTCGGTCGCTAATCGATCTGGGACCTTGTGTAGTCTACGTTTGGCTTAGCCGAAAGGAGGCGTTTAGATTTGGGCGAGGGTGATTTTGGACGTAGGTATGTTTTTCCTTTATCTTATATTAAACTTTGTTCACTAGCACTAACACTTTATATCAACACAATTACCACGGCTTGAGTTCTTCAACAAAGACTCAAAACCGGAACTATACTACCACAGAATCCGCAGTACGTCGGGAAACTGGAAAACAACCACAACTATCCTCGGTACGTTGGGAGAGTTGGACAAAACCACGGTTTAACCTATAAACCGGAATAGAATAACCACGGGAGACCTCAGTACGTCGAGAATCAACCGGGCAGAGTTTCGGTACAATCACGTGTACAAGAAAACCACGATCTTACTACTTTTGCCACTTAAGCAGTAGATCAGAGTGTAAGTATTTTATTTAGCGGGTATATAGGGTATAGGAATATTTGGAGATGAATTTTACGTGAATCACGAAGGATATCTTCCCTCAAGGGCGAGAAGCCTTTATTATATACTTTCTTGTAATTAGGACGCACTATACATCTTTTATGTACTATATTGAATATATTGCCTATAATGATTAAAACGCTTATACTGATTACAATACATAAATCTCTTATATTCCCAATTTCTTCTATCGCTTTGATAATTATTAAAGGTCCGATAGCTCCTATAAGAGCTATAGTACCGGAAAACCTATTTATGGTAAGTGATCTGCATAACCGATAGACTATTACTACGCCACCAACCTCCACGTGTCTCTGTTTCTGCGGCTCACACTATAAACATAAGGTGCACGAGATTAGAAATGTGTCAAGTCAGATGTTACCTTGAAGCTCTTACATAATTAATAAACTTTATTCAATCCAAATAAACATAAGATAAATTTTATAGTTTGTGAGAAGCTAGAGATAAGAAGCTAATAAGGTTGGCCTCAAATGTGAAAGATGGAAATTCAGACATTCAACCTCCAATCTTTAAGTTGAAATAGATTTTAGAAAGTAAGCGTATGGAGTCAAATAGACCTATTTTTTAGATTCAGATTATTTTTATGCTTCATGCGATTGACCTATATAACGCAAGACGTTAATATTAAGATCATTTTGGCAGCACAATTAAGCGGCAGATAGAATCTTTCATTAAGGTCACCTTTTTAGTTGACTGTTTCTAGCATTTAACACATAACTAGTAACGGGTTATTTTATTTTATTTTTAACGAAGCTTTGAGTTCTAAAACTAACAAGTTACCGGGTGATTAGATAAAAATATGCATTAATTAATCGGTCACTATTGGACAATGGTCATGTGATATAGATTTATCGGCTCGCGGCTCCATGTTCAGCTTCAAAGTCTCAAGCCGAGCCGTTTTTAGAGCCTATGCTTCATTAATAGATCTGGAGCCGAGCGATGATCGGCTCGGCTTAGCCGTATGGCTCGCGGCCCAGCTCAAGCCGTTTGCATCACTAGCTCATTCTAACAAATTTCTATGTTTAATGAGGTGCGTCGGTAGTGGGGTAGATAGGTTAGCCTGTGGAGAAGATGGATTACCAAGAAATTTTTTCACGGTTTACATTGATCGATTAATTGTTATTTTGTAGCTAAATATTAAATTTGGGGATCAAATGTTTGGATTTGGTGTCCGAATTTTAGCATAATTCCATAAATTCGCCGTGATGTTATATTAAAAATTTCAAGAATCTCAATACTTAGTATTCTATCATATTCAAGATGATTTATAAATGAAAATTTCTAGACTTTACAGAATTGTTTTCCTCTTATTCGCAATTCAAATATCAGGCAAGATATTATTAACAATATATATACTGTACAACCATGGCAACAAATTTTAGATTAAACGCATTGGAATAACTAGTGGAAGCAATTTATGGACAAATTTCAATGCTAATTCTTCCATATAGAGATTAGAACCGTTCAACCATTGGCCAATTAATAAATCAGAATATCCAATTGATCAGTTATAAAAATTATGAATGGTTAAGAAGCTGGTTAATAGAAAATATAACAGCTGTCTGGGTCAAAATCAATAAATTTTAAGCGGTCATTATTTTTTTGACCGGTTCTAATCCCTACCTCCGTATGATTCTAAAACTGACTTTGATGAAAACTAAAGCAGTGATTTCAACAATCATCAATAAACACATACAACTAAAATTGCGATAAGGGAACAGAAGCATACTCTATGAGTTTAAGAACAGTAATTTGTGGAACCAGAAATGGTTTTACTAATACATTTTGGAATCTATGCGATAAATTAAGCAAGCAAACACAGTCTTAATTATAAAAGTTAAAGATATAGGCGAAATTCTTGGTGGGTATAACCCAATCCAATTGGATAAATCACTTGGTTGCATAAATCGTATTATTAAACCTGGATCCCTGAGCACTGTCTGTCAGTGTTGAATACGACTTACATAACTTATATGACTTGTTATTAGGAGTCTGCAAATGCCTGCCCGGCACATTGGCATCAGGCCGGGCACTAATTCCATATGTTCATGCCTATGCCTATAAGCACAAAAGGGCATAAAATACCACAAAGTGCTAGGCACATATGCCGGGCACAATTACTGTACCAGGCAATTAAATAATAATATCAACTTTCCGTGCCTGTGTCAAATTTTTATCCCCATGTTCATGCCCATGTCTGAGCTTTTCATACCTGTGCCAATGCCTTTGCCATGCCTAGATTTTTTGTTGGGCAAGGCGGTCGCAGACCCCTACTTGTTATATTACATTATCATATGATAAGTGTATAATTACAAAATTACATATGATTCAATATAATATAACATGATATTTGACATAGTGTAAATCAAGAATCAGGTGATCCACATATTTAAAGTATAGTGACAAATATTATGTAATTCCCACATAAAAGAAATTTGGAACATGAGTGTAAGACGAAGATCCAAGATATTACGTAATATCTGTCACTGCCCTTAAAAGCTCAATTCTTTAACTAAAAATATCAAAATTGACGATCTTTGTCTGGGGCACAAAAGTAAATCTATCATATGATACATAAAAAATTTTTATAAATAGCACGTACGGTCATGCATTTAAACACGATTTGCATCATGAGTGGCATATGCAGTTTTATTCATCATCATTCTACATTTAATTTTTACAATCTTTATCCTTGTACACTTTCGTGATGGTTTTTTTCATTTTTTTTATCATATTCGCATATTATGCCTACAAACATAATCCTAATGAAGAATCTTTTAGGACATATATGCTAACTAGGGAAGAATCAAAAGATTCTTCCGCGTCCTCCTCTTCCAGAGAATTATTCAAATTTTTTAATAAATTGCTTGTTGGCCAATCTGCTGTTCCCGAATTTATCTTAGACAATTATATGCTTTTTTCTATTGTCAAATTAAAAGATGGCTCTGCTACTTATTTTGGCTTACTTGATAGCTGGTATTTAATGAGTAAAATAGAAATTGTCAACAAAAATAGAAAAAGCATTTCCTTCATTCGTGAAAAAAATTCAGAAACTGCGACTGAATCTCAGGTTTTAGAAGGAATGGCATATAAAGAAAAAGAAGATGCCATCCGTGCAAAGGGAAAAAGAGATTGTAAAGTTTTATATTATTATATTATTATTATTATTACTTTCTCTTTTACGATTCATTTGTAATTTAGGTTGCCCTAACATTTGTCAATTCTTGTAAATAGTTCAAACTTCATCTAGATGTTTTTTATCTGCAGCTAAATATTTCCAAAAAATTGGTGATGATTATAATCTTTTAGAAGCTGCTGGATGTTACGAGGATGCATACAAATCCCTACAACAGTTAAATCAACTTGGTAACTTGGCTAAACATCTCAGTAATATGTCTTCATCATTTTCATTTGTATATTAAAACTCATGTCTTTTAATAGATAAAGCGCTTAAAGCATTAGAAACTGCCGCTTCAATTTATGAAGCGAATGATCGTCAACATTCTCGTGCGGCTCGTACGTATGAATCGCTCGCCGAGCAACATAAAAAGATTACTAACCCTAATCGAAATTTGGAAAAGGCGCTCGCTGTTAGTTCATTTTATAAATATTATATCAGTCAACGAATTTATTATCACTTTTTGTGCTTATTATTTCTGATTCACAGATGCACAAAAAAGCTGCTGAACTTTTTGAGTTAGATGGCGATGGGTATGATAATATTCGATGTATTATTTATTTAATTATTTATATTAAATATTTCAACTTTTATTTTTAGTCGCTACTTATTTTCCCTTATATCACAAGCTGAATTGTCTGCTGAGCTTGGTTACTATGAACAAGCCATTATACTATTTGAACAAATAACTGCTACTGCCGCAAATGATTCATTGCTTAACTTTAAAGTCAAAGATCACATTTTTTGGCAATGCCTATGTATAATTGCTTTGGATGATTGGGTTAGGCTCGAAAAACAACTGGCTCAGTCTTCCGAATCATATCCAATCTTTACAGATAGTAGAGAATGTGAATTTGTCAACGTAAATATGTGTTACCTTTTTATCTCTTATATGAATTTTATATTGTAAATTTTATTAATAATTTACTTTTTTAGAGTTTAATTGCTGCAAAAAATTCTTATGATCCATCAGCTTTTGCTACGGCTTGTAAAAAATATGACGAATTAACAAAGCTAACGCCTTGGCAAACTAATATTTTACTTAAAGCCAAAAAAGGTTTAGAAGTTGAAGATTTGCAGTGAAATCATTTGAAATTATAGAATTTGTAAATAGCACTAACCTAACAATGTGCCAATATATATTATTTATATTTAATTGTTTTAAAAATGCATTCTTAATTGATCTAAATTTATTGACTCGGCCAATATTTAAAAATTAACTATGCTAAGTCGATTGCCTGTGGTATTTAAAAAATCTACTTCGACACTCCCTAGTGTTTTAAGCCGGTTTAATTTCTTGTTTTTGAAATATTTAGATTACAGTATTACCACGAAATAACGTGCAGAGGTGAAATTACGATTTTCAGCTTAAATCAAGCTTAATTCAGGTCGAACCTCGAAATAACGCCCATGGTCGTTATTTCGCAGTTTTACTGTACATTAGGCCATATAAACCTAATAAATTGGTTCTCATAACCCGGCCGGGTCAAATTTTGCAAAACTTTGAAAAAATTTTTTGACGATATTCATCAGAAAGTTAAACCATTATCTTATATAAATTAAACAGCATTATTAAATAAATGCTAATAATATTTTTAAATATTTGGTATTCTATGTATTTATTTATATTTATTACAAGTATTTATTTACTATTACAATTTAATATAAAATAACATTTATTATAAAACACGCCTATAGTGGTTTTGCACCTATTATATGTTTTTATAAAATTTTCAGCACAAATTTTTCATGTTATGGTTAGTATTTAGTGCTAGAATTAAGGTTTAGGACAGGGTTGGCAAATAACAATGTTATTTAAAATTTTTGTGACAAATAACATAAGTTATTTGTTTTTTTTTAGTTTTTTTTTCTCTTAGGCAAGTTTTGTCATGACTCTTCTAACCAAGTTGAACCTAATCCTGAAGAAATAGCAATCACTAGTATTTCATAGGACCAGGTCCAACATTATCCCTATACCATTTTTTAGGCCCTTAAAACAACTGCTATACTGTGCCACCAAAGCACCTTTTATCATACTGGGAATTTTACCCACCAATCTAGTGGCATCATGAGTTCATGTAGTATTTTTATTCAGACTTTTAAACCCTGCATTATGTCTTATGACTTTGGTTATTCCAAACTGGGGTTTTAGTACATCTCACTTCACAGCCACAGCTTCTTGAAATAATTATTTCTAAATACATATATTCATACTGTAAATATCCTGGGTTCTCTGTACCTCATGGTGTTTTACTTTTATATTTTGTTTTTTTATTAGGACTTAATTAGACATCGCATGCTGCGATGTGCTTATACATCGCCTTTTAACAATTGACCAATTAAATTTGAAG